AATCACTTGTTATGCATCAGAGAGTTGGACAGTGACTAGGGAGGATAGAAGGAGAATTGATGCCTTTGAGCTGTGGTGCTGGAGAAAAGTATTGAATGTACCATGGACTGCCAAGAAAACAGATTCATCCTGGAAAGGGTTAAACCAGGCTACTCCTTGGAGGCAAGGATTCTGAGGCTCCGTCTAACAGACTTTGGACATGTTGTGAGGAGAGACCGGTCCTTGGAGAAAGACATCGTGCTTGGGAGGGTGGAGGGACGGCATAGGAAGGGTAAGGCCCTTTATGAGGTGGATTGATTCAGTGACTGGGATAATCAGGATGAGAGTGTCAGAGACAGTGCGATTGGCACAGGACAGAGAGGCGTTTAGGGCTGTTTTACATAGGGTCGCTATGAGTCGCAAGTGACTCAGTGGCACATAATAACAATTTTATTTTATTTGTGTATGTATTGTCAAATCCGGAAACTCTACAAACAGTGCTCAGGTCTTTTATTCATAGGGTCGCTATGAGTCGTCTACAGCTCGGCAGCACCTAACAACAACAACAACCGTCAAATCGGATCTGACTGGTCCAGAAGATTATTGCCACTTGGCCACCAGAGCTCCCTAGGTTTCAGAATTCTTGTACATAGGATCACTGTGAGTCACAGGTGACTTGATGGCACATAACAGTAACATATATTGAACACAAAAAGGTTGATGCCTTTCACTTGTAATGATAAGCAAATCATTCTAGAAGCTGCACTTTATGAAGTAGTATGTGGCATCAGGATTGGTGGAAAACCCATCCATTACCCACCTCACGCAGATACCACTATCTTATAAAAAGTGGAGAAGACTTGAAGCATTTACTGCAGAAGATCAAAGATTACAACCTCCAATATGAATTACATCTCAGCGTCAAGGAAACAAAATTCGGTGAGCTCTGGTGGCCTCGTGGCAAAAAGCTGCACTGCAGTCTCAGAGGTGCACGGTTCGAATCCACCAGATGCTCTACTGGAGAAGGAGGAATAATCTTCTGTACCAGTCAGATCTGATTTGACGGTACACACAGAAAATAATGAAATAAAATAAAATTTATTTTTTAAACAAAACAAAAATCCTCACCATCGAGAAAACAACAATTTTCATGGTGGATGGAGAAAAAATTGAAGTTGTCAACAATGTCATCTTACTCAGATCCCAGTCAACATCCTTGTTACCAGCACTCAAGAAATGAAAAGATTTGTTTGCATTGGGAAAATCTGCCAAGGATCTCTTTTGAAAAATACTTAAGAGCCAGGATGTTGGTTTAAAGACTAAGGGGCACATAATCCAAGCTATGATATTATCAGTTGTTTTCTGTGCATATGAAAGTTGGACAGTGAATTAGGGAACAGAAGAATTGATACCTTTGAGCTGTGGTGTTGGTGAAGAGTACTGAATATCCCACAGACTGCCAAGGAGCAAACTAATGTCTTGGAGAAAGTGATGCAAACATAATGAGACTCCTTCTCACATACTTAGGGGATGTTGTTAGGAAGGCCAAGTCCTTAGAAAAGGATGTTAGGCCGGGAAAGGCTGGGTTGGAGGAGAAAGAGACCCTCAGGTGGATTGACACAGTGACAGTTGTTACAACGGGATTGAGTTTGTGGGAGATGAGGACAGTGTGGAAGAGGGCAGGAGTCAGTCTACCGCTGATGGGTCACTATGAGTCATGTTAACTGTTCATCACAACAGTGACGTGGGCTGTCTGAGCAAAAGGATCCACTTTGGAGCAAGTGCAGGTAGAATCGTCCTTAGAAGCAGGAGTGACGAGAGCTCATCTCACAGACATTGGGCTTCTTGTCAGGAGGCTCCAGTACTTATAAAAGGGCATCCTGCTTGGAAATGTAGAAGGTCAGAGAAGGAGAGAGGACCGTGGAGAGAGGGACTGGTGCAGTCATTGCCCCAGGGGGCTGAGGCGTGGAGGGCTTGAGGCCGGGTTACAGACTTAGAGGCCTGTAAGAGCATAACTGCAGATTGTTTGTAAGGAACACGTGAAAGCTAAGAGCAGAGTTGTAATTCTTTCTACGGTTGAATCAGCCAGTGACATTGACGCTACTAGTAACGTTAGTGACTGAGCCGGGACCTTTTTTTGCTTTTTCTCCTTGCTGAGTAATTGGCATAGGCTTGCAGACGATAATTAGGCAGCACTGTAGCTGAAACACCAGGGAGTTTGACAAAGGCGTCTGCTGTAAAAACAGTGCCAGTGAGGAGAACCGCAGCTCGTGCAGCCCCAGAGTCTAAGCATCCTCTTAACTGGGTCCTAAGGACAGCTCCAGCTTGAGGTGGTTAGAATACTGGAAGTAAGTGAGCGGTAGTTTGTAGCCTTATGGATACACAGTTTGTAGCCTTATGGATACACAGTTTGTAGCCTTATGGATACACAGTTTGTAGCCTTATGGATACACAGATGCGCGTGAACTGGGCTTACGAAGAAAAAGCTCCCCCTCCGAGTTGTAACTGCTCCTTGCTGCGGAGTCTGAACCGAGTCACTGCTCGCCCTCCCTTGCATTACAGAGGCTGTTAGATACAGGAGAGATTGTCCGTATTAGCAGTGAAATTCCCTGTGGATTACGCCCCCAGAGCATTTTTATAATTAGTCATAGGAATATGTTAAAAAAAACAAAACAAATCTATAAATGTCTGCTGAAATGGACACAATTCTTTTAGGCAGTTGTATTGGTGTCTCCTCCTCTGATGGTGTCTCCGTGTGACCTCTACTCCCCTCACCTCTTTTTGGTTTAGGATAACTCAGGGGGCTGACTCTGGAGGAGGAAGGGGCGCTGGGCCAGCGGGCTCTGGCTCAGGCCTCTCTGAGATGCCCCCTCCCACGCCAGCAAGTCCCGCTGTTAGCTGTGGTGTCCCAGACTGCCCCGTCCTAACTGTGACTGCCTGGGACTTCCCTCTGCCTGCCCTTTGACTTCCTATTCCTTGCCACTGGTGCCCTGGCTCACCCGCTCTACGCCTGGGCTCCATGAGGGTCCCTGGGCCTCTCGGCTGCCTCCATCAGTCCCTCAGCATAAATCTGCTGCCCCTCGGCTCCGCAGTCCTCGCGGGCTGTCCTGCAGAATGTGGTATCTGCAGGGGTCAGTGCTACACACAAATATGTTTTTTTCCTTTTTTTGAATTTTGTATTTACAATGATGTATTTATTGCAAATACCTTTTTTAAATGTTTTTGTTTTTTATTTAAATTTATTATTAATTTCAGTAAAAAT